GTCATTTCTTGAGGACGTCCACTGTGCCTTCTGTTTTTGGTAGTGTGGCTCTTCCTGCAGCTGTATCTCAGCTTATGTTCAGTAGCCTACAGATGCTCTTGTACCTTCTCCCTTCTTTACGAGGTCTTACAGGCTGGTTTCTTACTTGTTCAGGCAAAGCCTCTTTATGTAGAGCTATGTTCCAATAGACACAGCAAACTGACAAAGCTGTGGTATTCACTGGTAACTATTTTACAACCGTGTTCATCTAATTTGGCTTAAATGGAAATATAATAATAATCATGTTGCAGTAATCACTTGTAAATTGACATCTGTTGCACTTTGGTGCCCATATTTTCAGCGTAGTCTTTCTTTACTGTAACATGGTACAATATGAATCACTGAACATCTGAATGATATTGCAATAGACTGTACTTGGTTTTGTTGTATGCTGTAGATACTGCAACTCTTTTGTTAGGTTCCTTATTTTTTAAGCCATAATAGCAACATCCCTCAATATATGCCAATGAAATTTTCATTTGGCTACTCATTGTGCCCAGAGGATGATCCCCTGACATCTTATCTGAGACCAACATGAGGTTGACATTTGTTCAGTTATTCATGTCCTAACTTCTGTGATGCCTTAAAGTTTCCTCGAGCCCAGTCAACAGATCCATCCATCCATACCACTTATCCTGAACAGGGTTACGGGGGAGGTGGGGGGCCAGCTGACATCGGGTGAGAGGCAGGGTACACCCTGGACAGATCACCAGTCTATTGCAATCTATTGCACTTACATACAGACAGACAACCACACACACCCACACTCACTCCTACGGGTAATTTAGAGTCGCTGCATGTTTTTTGGAATGTGGGAGGAAGCTGGAGTACCCAGAGAGAACCCATGCAGGCACAGGGAGAACATGCCAATCAACAGATCAAAATTTTAATTTGTCTAACCCACAGATTGTATATAAATATTGACAACGTGTCACCACTTCCCTCCGCTGTGCAAAAGTGAAGCCAAAATATCACGAACACGACAGCTGCTGTCTTGGCATTCTGCAACCAGATTTTGTGCAGTAGCAACCAGAAGTGGAGTGACAGCATCAGACCACTGATCAAAGCTATCAAATCATTTGAAATATACTTCTGTATCATCAAATAGCTTATTACATTTTGCCAAAAATGACAGAAATTACATCTGGGAAAAATATATTTGATTTGTACTTGGAGTTTTTATTTTGGTTCATGTTCCCTCTGTTAACATGGAGAGGGCAGGATTTATGAGCTACTGCAACCAGGGGGCAATCGACTGGCACTGGTTTCTGGGAGCTGTTGTGCTCACACTGTCATTTGATACATTGACATACTAAAATAACAGTGATAGCTGCTTTACCATCAGCGTGTTAGTCATTGTGAGCATGTTGGCACGCTGGTGTTAGCATTTAACTGTAATTACAGCCTCAAAGAGCTCTGCATGTCTGTAGACTTGTTTTAAAACATAAGAGTACAAAAAATATTGTCTGTTGTCACGGGTCATAAAATGACAACCGAGGTTCATGATTTGTAACAAATGTTTTCCTGGAACCTGCCCATCAGTGTCAGGGAAGACAAGTGGAATGTTTATTGTCTCTGTCCCTCAGCCTGACAAAACTTCTCTAATAACAGCAGATGAGCGCATCCCTTGTGGAGAACAGAATCTGAAACTTTACTGAAACTCATAAAAGATACTGTAAGTGTGTGGATGAAAAGCTGAGTATGAAAATTCCTAATTTCCCCAAGTCCTAAACTAAACAGTTTTACTTTAACAGGAAAAGTAGTCTGTTGCAGTTAATTAGTTAAACAGATTCAGATCAGATGTATAACACTGAAATTAATGATGGGAAAACGTCCTACTGGACTGATCTCTTCTGGTAAGAGAATGTGTTTCTTTGCAGACTATTTGCATGTTTAGAGCATGTAGGTTAATTAAGAACTCTGTCATAACAGTCTATGATGGTTTTACATTGACCTAAATTAGGGTGACCTGCAGGAAGCTGTTTTCTACATTCACTGTTTTGGTTTTCATCATGTTTCATAGGATGATGAGGTCACACCACCGTATCAACCATTAGGCCTCAGTGTGTGAAGCCTGTTAAAGATTTGATAACAGCCTCATCCAGTCTTTGTTCATAATGTCTGGTGGAGTCTACAATATAATACATGTAAAACTGCTTCCTCGCATTGATTGTTCATGTCCTCGCTGGAAAGATTTTTAAAATCATGTTCTTGAACAATTTTTTACAGTCATCATTAGACTTAGAGTCAACTGTAATACACTGGCAGCTTTTTTCCAAAACAGCTGATCATTTGTGACTGTGAGGGTAACCAAAAAAGTGGTCCGTGGGAGGCTCTGCTTTCACAATGATTTCCAGTGAAGCATACCCAAGAGTTCTATTTCTTTGGTTTTCTCCCAGTTAATCGAACTTGCATATAGCTCATCATGTTAGAAACGCATGTTGTCTGCTGAGCAGCAGCTACAGTAGGCTATATCTGTGACTGTGGCAGGTGCATTCCTCTCGGACAGTATCACTTCAGTCCTCCCAGATCTCAAATGTGTTGTGTTCACCAGATATTTGCTTCAGTGACAGTTACATTACTGTCACCATATTTGTGTCCGCGAGCAATCCGAACATGAAACAGAAGGATGTGAACCATTTCCAATTTTCTGTTTAAAAGGCTGTGAATATTGGTTCTTAGATCTCCCACAGTGCACAGAAACAATGTCACTTCTCATGGTGAGCAATTTGTTTTCTATTTGCAAGTCCACCTGCGTCTCTGCACAGGTCACCTAAACCCCAGGCTATTCATGTCATCCTCAAGTGACCTTTTAAGAAATGCCTCCAAATTGACTTTGTCACCTGTTTTACTTTTTTCTTTTTCTTTTACTCGGCGACTCATTAGACCATTTCCATTTCAACAGATGGATTTTGAGAAGCATGTGTGACAGTCATGCCCTGTGTGTCTCAAATATTTCTGATCTGTTTAGAGGAAGCATTTTCACTTCTCAGCTGTGGCACAAAATGTGAACCTACACCCACAGTAACTGCTCCATTTAAATCACTAATATTAAATGGGGTCAGTGGAACAACAACGCCTCCGAATAGATGGAAAAATCTATTTATTCTCAAGGGACCACAGAGGGCAACTAAAAAATCTTTTTTTTTTTTTTTATTCTGGGTGGTATGTGAAGAGAAATAACTTTCCTAAAACAAAAGCCACTTAATGTGGTGTGTTGGATCCACTCTCAGAAGTGCAGATGGAAAATGTGATGATTAGAGCATCTCCAAAGGTTAAGAGAGGTGTTGCTGACAGAAGTCACTAAACGCTTTGAAAGATACTGATGTAGTGCCCCTGTCCCTGTCAAAAAATGGTCCACTACTGAACCTATGAACAACTTGTCATCTAAACAATTTGTATGCTTTGTATTTCTGTTACTGTGGGAGTATTTTACTATACTTGACTTTCAATACTTAATGTTGAATTTGCTGACTGGAAAAGGGCAAAACAAAAGCCATCATTATCAGGTTAGGCTGCCTTTTCTTTCAACACCATGAAATGATGCTACAGGATGTGTCTGCCATGGTTCAACAGTCTCCACGGGTCTGTGTTTTCACTCAAGTAAAATGTCTCACATTATTCCCACAGGACAGAGAGATACTATTGTTTCTTGGTGGTCTTGAATCCCTGAGGATGTTTTTCTGGACATATTTTGATTTTGTTCCTCTGGGCTGAAAATATGTAGCAAAGGTCAAGGCCCTACATTTCTGTCACGCCTTTCACTTGTCTTGTACTTGTTATCAGAGAGAAGCTCGATAGCATTCTTCAGAACAACATCTCCCAATTTTCACAGCTGTGTTAGGTCTTTCATGAAGAGCCAGGGCTTTAGAGGAACCATTTTAAAATGACATCAGTATTCCTTTACATGTGATTTGAGATTTTTCTGCGGTCAACAGTCATTTACCAGGTGTGAATCACACACAGACTACATGCACACACAGATTTCTTTCCACCCACTCGCGCCTGAGCCAGCTTCTGTCAGTGTAAACACTATGGAAGAACAAGAAACCAGATAACAAGCCTTCAGCCTGTCACAAAGCACTTAAAGCAATAGTTCAACATTAGGAGAAAAGCTCTTTTTTCAGTTGAGAGTTAAATGAGAAGATTGATACCACTTTCATATGTTTATCCAATAAACAGGACACCACAGCCAGCAGCTAGTTACTCTAGTTACCCAAGACTAGCTAGCTTGACTCTATCGAAAGGTGACAAAATTCACCTACTAGTAGAGCTCACAAATTAATATGTCTCATTTATTTAATCTGTACAAAAACCAATGGGGACAAATGACAGCTTGTGGTTTTACAGGGAGTGCAGCATGTGTCTATTAGGTTGAGCACAGTGAGAGCTTTAATGTGTTAACTAGTGAACTTAAGTGAGGTGAATTTTCACATTGCATCATTCGTGCATTGTGCAGGCTAGGTGCAAATCCCAGTTCCCTTAATTGCATCCATGTTTCCCTCACTTGTATCTGTTCCTTGTGTCCTAGTCCCACCCACGTAAAATGCGACAACAGAGGAATCAAGAAAACTGTTTTATACCGACATGAGATGTCTTTTCCTCTTATCCTTCATCCGAAGCATCCTATCACTAGCTGATTTCTGATAAAGGGGTGCATTGGTCCATAAGCTGAAGGATGCTTTATGTTTATCCTTGCTCATGGCTCCTACAGCAGCCTCCTCACTCCTCAGAGCAAGAATAACAGGGCATATCTCAAATCTCTTATGATCATTCTTCAGTCCTTGTTCATATAGAATGACTTCTGGACTGAGGACAGCCCAAGACTCTTATCTGTTCTGAGGAGTATTTATACCAAACTAAGCTGCCTTATCCTGGCTGCAGCATTTAGCATACAGACAGGAGAGAGGTGTCAATCTTCTTATCAAACACTTATATTTCTGGCTATTGTTGTATTTCCCAAAATGTCAAACTATTCCTTATACACTACCTGTCTTCTAAATTTGACCATTTACATGTATAGATGAAGCCTGTGGGAAGTCTTTTTTTATTCTTTCTTTTTTTACTTACACCAACAAACATTCATAGCCAATGTACAAAGTAGTCTAGCTTGGGTAGTATAGATAAATCTATTCTTTAAATAAATACTGCACTAAAAGGACACAGCCATCGAGTGTGGCATAGAAATTATTGGACAAAGATTTTAATGCTGCTTTCATTCTATACTGTTCTGGGCATTTTGAAGCTCAACACCTTTATAAAAAGATTCAGTGTTGGCAGATGGTTCACTCTGCCCCATGCCCACTTCTCACACAGAATTATATCAGACACCACTGTCATAAAAGCGAACTTAGACGTCAGTCAACGAATACAGGTTTTCTCGTCTTTTCATGTGCTTTTAACTTTGAGGACTCCACATGTGTTATCCTATTGCTGCATGATGAAAACCCTCAATTGGCAAAGGACCTTTCTGAAGACATACTGTAAGCTAAAGGCCTCTTTAAAAATGTGTGTATTTAAAACTCTACAGTGAAATGTTTTTGTGTATAAGAGAAATTATGAAACATCATAAGAGCATCATACCACAGACTCCACCAATTTGATCTAAATAGGTGCTGAAAAGTTGGAATCACAGGAGCTCTTTGAAAAACTGGAGCTGTTCTGTGCCCTCATTCAGCCAGACCATAATTTAACAAAGCTGTAGTTCTTATATGATATCACAAACTTATAATATAACTAAATTATGGTAATCACCTTCTATCTGGCTGCATAAGTCACCATTTCACAGCTTTCAGCACATAAAGAACTCAGTGGTGAGAACGTCTCAACCACATAACTCCTTCCTGCCCTACTCTCTGAGACTGTGACGGCTAGCACACATTTTGAAATGAAAATGTATACCATTTGAAAAATCTGACATCGGCTCTTAGGGGCATTTTAATCAAGGGAAATTACATCCACTTTTAAAGGTGCGTCAAGACGCCACTGCTTTACCGTGTCATTGCGAATAATATAACAAAAATTGCCTTTTCTTGCACACATTTCATGACTATGTTGTTTTGCTGTATTGCTGTCCAATATCATGTGACAGTCCTCACTTTAATGAAGACATTTTTCTTATTTTTGACAACTGGGTTTTTGGTTTTTTGTTTTTATCCATGGAAGAACTGTATATGGATTTTTACAGTTTGACCAACAACAGTTACTGCATTCATAAAGCAAGGAAATGTAACTGAGTCCATCTAACAAGACTGGGGTTCAATCTGAGGCTGCACTGATTGTCTTTTAGGACACAGTATCTTTGAGAAAGCCCTTCGAAAGCTGCTGTGGCACAGGGGGTACAAGAACGGGTTGATGGCAGAGTTCAGCCACAGCAGCCAGAATGTAATCTCGTACCAGTAGTTCGCCACACATTCACCGCTACAGGCAGCACGGATAATCATTAGTAGAGTGTAAGGAGCCCAGCAGATCCCAAAAATGCAGACAATAATGGCCAAAGATTTGGCAATCTTTTTGTCTCTGGAAAGGCGAGATCCCTGTGTCCTACGGCCGGGCACCAAGCAGGAGCCTGTGTGCTGAAACAGCCTGGAGTTTTTTCTGTTAGGAGAAAACCTCTCTCTCTGCATGAATATCTGACTGGTATTAGGGTCCCCGCTGGAATGGGGGGACAGGACGTCATCATCCTCAATAACTGCAGATATAGCAGGCTCACTGGACGACACCTTCCGAGTTTTGACAAAAAACACAGACCAGCCGCTTCCGTCTTTGTGTTTACTGTTCATTTGAGTCTTGTTGTCATCTTCAGTGCAGGCGCCCCCATTCTTGTTCCTGCGATGGATGTTCAGATAGATGCTGAGGTTGAAAAAGGACACTGATACAAATGGGGTGAAAAATTCAAAGGTAGAAGCACTGAGCAGAAAGTACCAGGTGAAATAAAACTCAGCGTAGCACTCGTGGGTCGGGACGATGCTCTCGCCGACGATGGTCTCCCAGAAGATGATGGCAGGGCCATAGAGGAGGAAGGCCAACACCCACACTGCCACCATCTTAAACACAGCCTGGCGGGTCATGTTTCTCTGAGCTCTGTATTTAACCTGTGTCAGAAGAGAGGCACAAGTTTGACTCACCACAGCTGCTCACATACTAACAGGCTAACAAACACAGTTGCCTCTGTTCTGAGTGCCATAAACAAATGAAGCCTTGTTTGTATTGTGCTGCCTCAGCTGAAAGATGCTGTAAAATAAAACCCACTCATGAGGCTCTTATTCCTCGGTGTGTCTGAAGCCAAAATGAGAAGAGACTGTCAAGCTGAGAGCCACATTCACTGATCCAACACAACAGTGTGAAAGAGACATCTGGTTTCTCCTGATCCACCCCACCCTCATCATCATCTGTCGCACATTTTGTTCATGCTTGCTCCATTTTCACTTACCTCCTCTTAGTCTACACTGTGTCATTTAGCAGAGCTCACTCATTTTTGTTGTTGTTTTTCATCTCTTCTTTGCCTCAGACCATTCAGTATCTCTCTGCAGTTGTAACAGCTGGGTATGTCAGTGTGAGACAATGATGCTGCTGATATGACTGTGATTAAAGAGCACCTTTATAAAAATCCACTCTCCTGACTCAATAAATAATGAAATACAGCCACTTTGCAATGCTGATAATTGATTCTGGACCCAATCATGAATGCTAATTACATCAGTGCACAACTCCTAGTTTCCATTGTGTATTTGAGAATTCCTGCTCTCTACAGGTTGAAAAAAATAATGACATCAATAGCTAAGATCGCATACTATGCTAATGAGACTAAACTCTCAATCAAAAGGAAATAAAAGCATCCACAAGCAAAGCGATGTTATCACTGCTTAGTAAGCAGTTAAATGGAATTCCTTTTCTCTAAATGTCAGGGCTAAATTTAGCAAATTAAAACTAAAAAGCTTTGAGACCATAACAATGATCCACATGGGAACATCTCAGTTCAATGAAGCACAAATAAACAGGTTGTCTAGGAGATCTTAATGTTATAAATGACTTAAACTGGTCATAGGGCACCGTGTTTAAAGAAAAAATCAGCCTACAGAATATTAAATTTGGTTTTATACTGAAGGAGCCATAAGAGGCAATAAATATCTGGTTGTTTTTAAATAAATCCTACTTTAATGGTGCCCTCCAGCTACAGTATTTAGTATTTCACTACCATAATGCTGGGGGACTCACAAGATACAGATTTGAAAAAGATTGGTTGAAATAAAAGCAACAGAGATGGAGATATCACTAATATTAGTCTCTAGAATAAAGCTTCAAAAAACCTGGTTTCCTTACTGCAACTCAGTAGCATCTGTTGTTAGACTTTCTCTGCCACTCCTTCCAACCCTAAAGGAGGCTGTAAATTTTAAGCCTAAAATCTAAATAAAGATAACACTGATGACAGCACAATGACATCATCATTTTTCAAACATTGAAAAGTCTTCTCCAGAGCTGCAGAAGACATTATACAGACATTAGACTGATGCAAAATCACCTCCTTGTTCACAGGACGTGGTGTCTCTCCACTATCCTACCCCCGCCACGACAGTCTGCTACATACAGCACTTCTGTTGTAATTCCAGCTTTTCTAAACTGTTTTCAAAGTACAATAAATCAGCCCCATCTAGCAAACTTTATAAGAACCGTATTTGAAACTGCAAGTATAGTCATTTCAAACACCCACCCTTGAAGGAGCTCTCGTCTGCTAAAAGTCTGAAACTGTGGCTGTCAGTCTGAAGAGGTTGTGTTCTTTTGCACAGAGAGAGGGAAAAAGAAAGGGCAAAAACCAGGGTTAACACTGGTTTGGCTTGTTGAGATGGAGATTGTTAAAAGCAGCCAAAGGTTTGATTCAGATGTGGTGTTCTTCCTTCTGGGTGTTTTAGTAACATTAGTGACCTAACGTGGTCTTGATTTTATCATTATACTGAATTATTATGATTTTAATTTGGGAGCAATTTAATCTTTGTGTAATGTTAGAAACCTGTGTCACATTAGCAGTAACCAGAGAGCTCTGCTGGACTGGATATTACTCATCAGTCAGCTAATGCTACCTTTGGACTAGAGCCTGTATTTCGTAGTTTGTCTCAACCAGACATCTGTATTTTACTGTGCCACAAGGAAACAGGATGTGATGGGAAGGGCAAAGAGTGGTTGGACATGGCCTAATGTTTAAATCACTGACTGCATAAAAGATGGACAACATGACAGCTCCTATAACTGAAGCCTCCATGAGTTGATCGCCCCCAGTTGCTGGTAGCATTCATATATCCTGCCTCCTCAATGTTAATGGTTGGGACATAAGTCAAACCAAAACCTCAAAGTACAAATCAAATCAATTTTTCCCAGAGGTGATTTCTGCTGAATTTGGTAGATTTAAGCTCTCTGATGTGTGTACAAGTGGTCATTTTTGTGGACAGTCTGTTTTTAATAAGTTATTTCATGATACAAAAAGGGGTGTATTTTTGTTTATTTGACAGCTTTGATTGGCGGCCTGATGCCTCAGTTCATTTTCAGTCCCACAGTATGAGAGCTGGATAAAGTGCCACCACTGAGCTGTTCAATAAACTTTTCCCAGTGGTCAGTTGCAGTACTGCAACACAAAAATCCCCCTGAAAAAGCTGAAAAAGCATTTTCTCCATAATCCACAAACATAAAAGAGATGTCTGTAAAAATGCTGACAGGGACACACTGAAGTACAAATCAGGTCAAATGTCATGCTTTATATTATGTGTTTTTAATCCATGGAGGTTTTATATTTGTAAAACCTTCACAGAGCCTAGAAAACTGACTTTTATGTTCATCTGTGGGCTGAGGGCAGCTGGGAAAGCACTAATGAACATGTGCAGCAGGCCCCACATTGCAGAACCACACCAGGGAGAAAAGACGTGTTGACATATGTGCCAGGCAAGCAACTTTGAGTGGGAACAATGGAAGCCATCTTATAGTATGGTGGTCTCACTAGACCCTCTAGTGACTGAAAAGAAACTAGTTTTAAATAAAATGGCAGTAAATGGCATTGACAGTAAATGTAGTGCACCATATAGCAAACAGAGAATGACTTCAGAAACAGCCTGAGTAGTGCTCCTCAAGTAAAATAAATGCACCAAAACAGTGGAGTATCCCTTTAACTGAATTACTACATATTCATCTATAAACGTTGCTAATTTAACTAATGTTTGCATTCAATATATTTACTGACCAAATTAACCAGACAGCCCTCATAAAGGAATAAAGTGACACATTTTAGAGCTGACTGTGGTTTGTCAATGATTGTGTGTGGGTGTGTGTGTTGGGGTTGTGTGTGGTGGGTGGGTGGGGGGGGGCGGGGTGGTAATAAGTACCTCCACAGCCTGTACTTACTGCTCTTGTGACGGACAGGAAGCGGTCATAACTAATGAGGACAATGTTGAAGACTGAGGCGGTGCACAGCAGGTAGTCCATGACCAGCCACACCTTGCAGAGACCCTTACCCAGCATCCACCGTCCTGTCAGGTTGTAGGGGATGTACACTGGGATACAGAAGGCACCTGCAACAGTCACACACACACACACACACACACACACACACACACACACACACACACTGCATGATGATTCAACCCATTCAGAACCCATATAGTATTAATATTCCCAGATTTTCAGACTGTCTGGACGTGAGATCTTTGTCACAAATAAATTACTGGTTACTGTGTGTTACCAACACAAAATCTCCTGCATTAAGTGAAAGACATCTTAGAAATAAGATCAGCCTGCTTTGGCAGTTCCATGAAGGAGAAGGCTATTATTTGTCTAATGCTGCAGACAGGAGCAACACAATAAGAGGGGTGTCATGCAAAAAAAAAACTGAGGCATGCTCCAAATACACATAATATAAATGAGGCAGAAAGGACGGTATATGGTGACTAATAATAGTGTAACAGTAAAACAGTGACTAAACGTAATTATATTGTATGAAAATGACTATGTGTGTAGGGCGTGCTTAATAAGCTTTTCAGTGGGTTTTCATTCATAGGGAGGAACAAAAGGTGAATTTGAGCGACAGAGCAGACACAAGAAGATAAGACACCAACTCACCCACAAGAAAATCAGATATAGCGAGATTCAGAAAGAAGTAGTTGCTCTGGTTTCTCAGGGTTTTATCCACGATAAAAGCCATGATGACCAGCGCGTTTCCAGCCACCACAACGACAACCAGAGTCACCATGAGCACCGACAAGATCACCACCAGGTAGCCCGGGAGGACAGCCGCAGTCTCAGTCACCGCTGGAGTCAAGTTGCCACTGGAGTTGGACTCCAGAATATGCGTGCCCATAGTTAATTTAAAGCCAAAATCATCGTAGACTCTTTTCATTTCACGCACAGAAACAACAAGCAAGTCCACCTGTGCGTCCAAACGTTCCGCTCCACTTTACCCAAGAGTCCAACATTACTGAAGAGCCGTGCTTAAATAAAGACACTTTTACAAATCCTCCCATTTTCTCTCCCAAGACTAGCTAGATGTTTTATCTAGAGGAAGACAGGTTTTTTATTGTAATGATAAACTAATGATGACCATGTGCTCCACTTTCTCACTGGCCCGTTTATCACCTGCGAAGGCTGATGGATGTGCGGGAACCGCGGAGCGCACGTCTGCTTTTGTCTCCGATGTCAAGAAAATAAGTACCATATCCGGTCATATTTTCAAAATAAACTCATAATGCAACGGTTTTGATAGGAGAAGGCTAAGGCTATCACACCTTCAAAATATACATCCAATAAGTTATTGTAATGTGTTAAATTATAGAGTTGTCTTTACATATTATCTTGCTAAACAGTAGATAGTAAAAACCAGCGTGTAGCTTCAGAAGGAGGCAAAAATCAAAACAGCTGAAATGTCTGCTCATCCACGTCTTTCTTAAGCCATCACTAGTGTTATGTTCACAAATCACACAAAATATAAATATCATTTCAAACCATTCTGCATGTGTGTTTTGAGATGTGTGAAATGCTCGTGCTTTATTTAAGAAGAAAGCTAAATTCCAGTCGCACTCCTATGATTTTGCCCTATTGATGGTTCACCTCTTTGCTCTCCCAGCAACTGATCAAAGGCTGAAGTCTGCAATCAAAAGCTGAAATGGTCCAGACCAGACACACGAAGCACACTGAGATGAAAAGCCCTGAGCTGCAGGCAGCATGGTGTCACCAAAGAGGCGGACCTCATCAGCAGGTAGACAATTTAACTACATTAACATCAAGTCAGACGTCGGTGTCATAGTCCACTTAAACTGAGGACATAAGAAATTGCCATTGTCTTCCTCCTGTGTTTTCTCCCAGGTCATATTACTTTTGATCATGTAAAAAAAAAACAAACAAAAAAAAAAAAAAAAAACTTTTGTGTTTTTAAAAATGAGGGATCTGCAATATGTTGATTTTCAGAAAAAACTGCAGAAGCTTAAAAATCAGGGGATATACACATCAAATCAAATCAAATTTTATTTGTATAGCGCCAAATCACAACAAAAGTCATCTCAGGACACTTTACAAAGTAAGGTCTAGACCTTACTGTTATCAGTATTATTACATAGGGAAAACCCAACAAATCCC